GATATATCTTGTAAACTTGAAAATCAATTCACTAATTACTCAAAATTTTGAATTATTTGAGTCTTATTTTATAACTCTGACTTTATTTTATTTTTTTCTCGAGTTGAGTCTAATTTATAAAATTACAAGTCAAGAAAAGTCGAGCTGAATTTCTTTAACATCAAACTGAGTTGAAAAATTCAGTTTGTTCTAGTCAAGTTTTGCTTACACCTACACGTAACCCTCAAATTTTTATAAAATTTTAAATTAAGGATAAATTACAAATTTCATCATTCTATTTTCTTCTCACCCCTATTTTAGTCACTAAATTTTAATTTTTTTTATTCCATTCATTGAATTTTCGATTAGCACTTATTTTGACCACCATGCGGTTAAATACTTGATGACTTTATGATTGAACATTTTTCTTTTAAAATTTATGAAATAACCCTAAATTTTTCTTGACTTTTTTTGAAAAAAAAATCATGTTTCTAGTTCCATTTGATTTCTAAATGATAAATCATCTTCTTTCAAATCCAATTGGTGGGGAGGTAGAGAAGGATGAAGCGAGTCGTATATCTTGAATCTAAGCTATGGAAACTGACTTTTGGTGGAAGGTCGATCCGACGTGGTTGAAATAAAAAAATGTTTTTTTAATGAAAAGATGGGAGTCATCACCAATCATTTTTAAGGTGAGATTGGAACACCTAAAACTAAGTAATTTTAATAAAATATTTTTATTTTACTAAAACACCAAGTTTTGGTATGCGAAATCAGAAATCAAGTTTGGGAGTCAGTTATGAATGAGGAAGGATTAACACCCCCACAAAACCCAAAATTGGTACCTAGTTGATTACTTTATATTTGAAAATTGGAATTTTTGAGTTCAAAATTTTATTTAACTTAAAAATCAGTATGCATGGATATTTTAAAAAGGATGTCGATTTACCAAGACTAATAACGACCACCCCAAAGCAAAAGTGGAAGCTTTGTTATCAACCACAATAAATGAACATTGCCTTAATAATTTAGAAATCATGATGTGGGGTTTTAAAAATGATGTTGATTTACTTCTGGAATAAGTAGCGGTCACCCTCCGTCAAAATCGGGAGATACACTACTAACGCCCTAAAAATGAGCATTGCCTTATTTTGAAAACGAAATGTAATCAAACAATCAGTTATTGAACCTAATTACACTAAATGAATTAATTAAGGCTTTCCTCTAACTTAAAGTGTCAAATTATGAAATTTAAAGAACCTAAAAGACTAAACCTAGAGGCTCTAATATTAATCCAAATCATTTTTAATAAATTATTGAGTTGAATAGTCAAAATGGAACCTCGAGCATAAAAGCGATGACCAAATAAAAAATTCTCCTAAATTAAAGGATTATTTATGAAATTAAGCATAAAGAAGAGGCTCTAATAAATAACCTGGTCAATTTTAATCAGTTTTTTATTCGAATAATTAAAATGGAACCTCGAGCAAAAGTGAGGACCAAATAAAAAATTCCCCTAAATTAAAGGACTAAGTATGAAAAACAAGCCTGAAATTGGAGGCTCTAATTATTAACCTAGTCAATTTTAACCAATTATTGATTCAAATAATTAAAATGGAACCTCGAGCAAAAGCGATGACCAAACTAAAAATTCCCCTAAATTAGATGACAAAGTATGAAATTAAGCCTAAAATTGGAGGCTCTAATTGTTAACCTAGTCAATTTTAATCAATTATTGATTCAAATAATTAAAATGGAACATCGAGTAAAAGTTAGGACCAAATTAAAAATTCCCCTAAATTAAATGACTAAGTTTGAAATTAAGCCTACAATGGAGGCTTTAATTATTAACCTAGTCAATTTTAATCAATTATTGATTCAAATAACTAAAATGGAACCTCGAGAAAAAGCAAGGACCAAATTAAAAGTTCTCCTAAATTAGAAGACTAAGTATGGAATTAAGCCTAAAGTGGAGTCTCTAATAATTAACCTAATCAATTTTAATTAATTACTGATTAGAATAATTAAACTGGAATCTCGAGCAAAAGTAAGGACCAAATTAAAAATTCTCCTAAATTAAAAGATTAAGTATGAAATTAAGCCTAAAGTGGATCTTTAATCATTAACATGGTCAATGTTAATAAGTTATTGATTCGAATTATTAAAATGGAACCTCGAGCAAAAGCGATGACCAAATTAATAATTCTCCTAAATTAAAAGACTAAGTATAAAATTAAGCCTAAAGTGGAGCCTTTAATTATTAACCTAGTCAATTTAAATTAATTATGGAATATTCATCTAAATTAAAAGCTTTAGGGACTAAATCAAAAGGAATCTAAATTTAAAGAGTAAATTCAAAGATAAAATAAACTAGACTAGGACTAAAATATTATAAATCTAAATCAAAGGGTTTAATCTAAAACCTAAATAGGCTATCAAGGAAAAAATTAAAAGGAATTAAAATTAGCAAGCAAAAATTAAAGGCAAGTAACATACATAAAATGGCTAAATTTAAATAATTAAGAAATGCAAAGTTAAAATCAAAGGGTAAATGTAGTGACTAAATTGAAATCAAAACAGAATGTAAAGCCCAAATAACAAGAAATTAAAATTGTGAATTAAAGGAAAAATTAAAATAAGAGAAATTTTAAAGGCAAGAATGCAAATAACATAAATTAGTTATTGAATAAAATAAAAGGTTAGGGGTTATTTTTAATATTTTATCCGAACCATAAATAATGTGAGTTATAGCCCAGGCGAGTCAGCACAAGATCTTATTAACATTTAATATTAGTATTTTAATAGGTAAGGACTAAAATGTAATAAAATATAAAAACAGTGAGCAGATCATAAATAAAATAGTGACTAAAACGTAAAAATTGCAATTATCACATCAAAATCGTGATGAAATAAAAAATAATCAGTGACTAACATGCAAAAACAAGTCTAAACTAGAGTGACCTAGACGTAATTAACCCAAACCATACAAGTATATATCCCAATATTTACCATTTTTGGTTAAAAACTAAAGAAACCTAAAAAAGGCTCCTTTTAGCTTCCTTTTAACTCAACTCTCCCCATCCCTTCTCCCATACAGCCGAGCCTCCAAAGGCCCAAAGCCACACGCCGGCCACCGTAAATCGGTGGCCTCCTCATGACCCGACTAACGCCGCACCAACCGGGTGAGACAAATCGTCCCCTAAAACGAAGACAAACCTCTAGGTCTCTCTCCTAGCTTCTATTTTTCCTTCGAACGAGAGCTTCCAACCCCCACAAACGCCGTGAGTCAACCGCAATCACTATCCGACACCACCATCGGTGGTCGGGCTACCAAGACGAACCCCCTATAACCCTCGAATTTCCTCTCTTTCAACTCTAAACTCAAAACCAAGGCCTCTAACCCATATGCAAAGCCCCTTAAAGCACTAAACCGAACCCATATGGACTTCGACGACACCAACCCCGACGAGGGACTCGAACCGCCATGTAAATGCTCACTCTTCTCTCTTTGGTTATTTTTTGAGACATCACATGCACACACAAATGAAACTAGAAGAAGGCTAAAAATACCTTTGAAGCTTTTCAAAATGCATTTTTTTTTAATTTTCAGAATGGCTAGCCTCTGTTGCAATGATTTTTCGGGTTTTTATAACCCATTTGAAGGTTACATTTGTAAAAAGAACGTTAATGTTTTGCTTATTTTTTTTTCTTGTCTTGTATGGATGATTTGGTGATAACTTAGCACTACCATGGGCGAGGGACCACCACGGGTCTCATCTAGAGCATTAGGGGCTGCCCATGGGGCTCTTGGGACCACTGGTCACGTGTGAATGGCAGCTGACAAGGAGATAAAGAGATGGCGGCGGCGTGGAAGAGGGACAGTGCTGCTGGCGGCGCAAGGATGAATAACCTGTAGTGCTAGGGTTAATTGTGGACTGTCGGATCATCATCAGATCCAACAGTGGAGATTAGGGTCGGCTGTAGCTAAATGTTGTTTTAGGGTTAGGGTTTTAATTGTACATGTGGGCTTGTAATCATTTTGGGCTACTGAATGGGTCAAAATGATAAGGATAAAATGTAATGGGTTATTTGTGTTGGGTAAATGGGTCTTGTAACGTGTTTATATATATATATATATATGTTTTGGGTTTTATTTTTTAATAGCTTTGCATATATATTTTGGGTTGAAACGTAACATAATAATAATAAGAGTGGTGTTTGGGTTCTAAATGAATATATATTTTAATAAATAAAAATAAAAAATGGTGATTACATAAGCTAATCAAATGATGGGGATCGTAGATTAGAGTGGTTTAGTGTTTTATGAGTTTTGGGTTTTGAGTTGAGTTTTGTAGGTTTTAAAGTGATTTTGGAAAAATCTAAACCGATAAAGTGATAGTAAATGAGGCGAGTTCGTTGGTATCTTGAGTGGTCGGAGAATATGTCAAAATAATGGTTGTTTTAGTACCAATGTGATATAGGGATGAAAAACTTTCAGCTGTGGAAGAAGAAAATAAAATAAAAAGGAAAAATGACATGATTCCAATGTCAGCAAAAATCAATCCACGTCACTATATATGATTGCCATGTTACCTTTTCATTTCTAATTTAACGTTTAAGTGATCAAAATAGTAACAAATTGAAAGTTCAATGAGTAAATTAATTTATTTTTTTAAATTTAGGGATCAAAATAAGAGTAAAAAAGTTTAGTGATGAAATTTATAATTTACAGTTAAAATAATATATAGTAAAAATATATTTTATCCCCCTAAAATATTAAAATTTTGATTTAATCCTTTAAAATTATAATGTTACAAACTAATACAGTAATAAAAATCCATTTCAACTCCATCAAAATTTATAATTTAATTTCAGTCCCCTCCATCTCTTAAATAACATCCTCGGGTCAAAATTTATTCCAAAACGAATGGGGACCGTTGACAAACATGACATGGCAACAAAAACAAAGAAAGAGATACACATGAAACCAATGCAAATCGTAAAGCTCGACCATCTAAGCTTTAAAAATCGACACGGGGAACGACCCCGACAAGGTTCGTCTTTAACGTAATGGACGATGATTGGTCAACGTAGATATCGGTCAATGTGATCCAAATCATGTACTCCTTGACTTTGACACCCGTCAGGTTCTTGATCTTGTTGGGCTCGAAAAAAGCCGTGATCTCGTCGTCGTGCTTCTTTTTTGGGAGGCAGATGAAGCCGGAGTCTTTAACGTAACCGCATTCTTGTATGTCTTGAAACGCGAACAACCCGATGGGGAACCCTTTTTCTTCCAACAAGGACTTGAACTTTTCCCTGCTTATTTGGTCGCAATAATAAACTTCAGTTATTAGTGCGCGAATATTGCGTTTACAGCACAAATGATCACATTGCATTATCGTGTGTTTTTTCAATGGAATTTGTTTACTTAATTTGTTAAGTCAATATTTGTCCAACCCCTAACATAACTCTTATAGTTATGCCCAACCCACCAATTCGAAAATATATCTATTAACATTAAATCTTACCGTAAAGTATACAAATGGTCTCTCGACCATAGAGTATTACTTTGTTGAGTTCCCCAACTATTCAAAGTTACAAAATAGTCCCTCAACAATAGAGTATAGTTTTGCTGAGTCCCCTAACTATTAAAATTAACAAAAAGGTCCCCAGAATAATATGTGTTCCAAACTTGTTCTTTTCTATTAAAAAATTGACAGAAGTCTGAGTTGAACATTAATCTGTTAACTGGAATATGATAGTTGTTTGAGATTAGATTTATCATATCACAGTCATTAGGTTAAAGTCCAGCTTATACTGCGGTTAATTTTTTTTAAACGGGCAAGTTTGGAAAATATGAATGTCATGGGATCATTATGTAACTTTTAATAGTTGGGGAGTCAACAGAATAATTCCCTTCAGTCGGGGGATCATTTTTTAACTTTTAATAGTCGAGGGAATCAACAAAGCAACACCCTATAGTCGAGGGATCATTTGTGTACTTTACCCTAAATCTTAATTATCTAATGTCATATGAACTCATCAAGTGGCCTCATTTGTTAAAGTGACAGGGGCGTCGTTGAGCTTGGGTAAGAAGGGCACATGTCTAGGGCCCCAATTTAAAAATAGGTAAACTATATGTTTTGTGTCTCAACTATAATTTTTGTTATGTTTTAGTCAACTAGCTACTTTTTTCAAATTATACCTGACATTTAGTTTTTACTTCATTTTGGTCACCTGCCATTTAAAAATTAATTGTGATGCAGATATGTCACCATAAGATAATGTCACATCATCATTGATTTTTTTTTTTAAAAATACCAAGTCAGTAGTTCTGTTAATTTTTATCGATTTATGACTAAAATATAACGTTTGATATGATTTTGAATAAAAGAATAGTTGAATGACCAAAATGGAATAAATGCCCAACTTTTTTATTTTCCCTAGGGCCACATAAATCTCAGAAATGGGTTCTAAAGTGAGTGTTTTTTGCCTTAGAAGTCATAGGTTCAAGCAGTTGTCTACGAATATGTGTGTTGTCAATGGTTAAGAAAAGTTCTTAAGAGATATTACCTTGTAATCACCATAGACTATTCAAAAACATCATTTGAGTTATCTAGACACCCATTTTTTGATTAGGATTAAAATATATATTATATTTATTATTATATACTATAGTATGATTATTATTATTATTATTATTATTATTACTAATATCATTTTATTTATATTTTATGCAGACCAACAAGTGACAATTATAAGTCCAGAATATACACTCACTGCCAACACCGCCAACTCCAATTATCCTTTGTGTCAACGACAATATCTTATCCTCACCAACAGCTCGGGCCATTTCAATTGAACTCATCAAATCACATGCACCAAAGTCAAGCAAAATTAATGATTTCACCTAACCCATCAACATCATATCAAACGCAAAGAAAATGCAGATGCATCCAAGGAGATTCAGTGAAGATTTCAACAATAAAATCGAAGAGGAATCGAGCAAAAAAAGGGGAGAGGACTCTAGAGGCCATTCGAACATCAAAAATACAGAGGAAATTTCGCAAAGAGATTCGAAAAAAAATTAAAAAAGAAGTTTACCTTATTTTTGGAAGCTCTCGCCGGAGAAGAAGAACCCCATCACGAAGGTAAAAAGTTTTAGTTTTTAAAGTTGTAATTTTGAGTTTCAAAGGAAAGGGGTCGGTTTTGGGATTTTTGAAGGTTTGAAAGTTAAAGAATAGAGAATTGGGAGGTTAAATGAGAGGCGTCAAAGAGAAGACAAACAAATGATAATTTAGGGAATTACACATAAAAGGGGTTTGGAAAAGGGTTTCAACGTGTCTTGTAACTTGTAATATTTTTTTTGGTATTAAAAAAGAGTCCATTTATATTGTCTTTTACATAGGTCCAATGTAGTAGCTCACATGTTACAATATATATACATTATATAATAAAAAATGAAAAGAAAACAAAAGTCCTAGCCTATATTCATACTTCAACCACCGGTTTTGCTTCAAAAACAAGGAGAAAAGTTGTTTTGAAAAGCCAAATATGTGATGGCATTTAATTGGATCAATTTTTTTAGGTGAATTTTTTTTATTATCGTTTATAATCCTTAATTTTGTTTGTAATTACACTTCTTCATTACTCATGTTTTTGATAATATTGATGTGAATCATTTAATTTAATTTGGAATATTAATTTTGCGCTTATGCGTATGTATATTTTCAAATTTTGTTAATAAATTAATTTTATAGATTTTAATTGTAACAGGCTTTGTCTTAGGTCACTATATAAATAAACTTATGGTTAAATTACTTAAGAGATTATAACTATTTTGATCTTTCATTTGATCATTGTTTGAGTATCATGTATAGTATTTTGTGGTTTAGTTACATTTTTAGTTGTTGTGTTTTTTTTATTCGTTCATTTTAATCTCACATTCCATGTACATACATATCTTAGATTTTAATTAGTTTTGACGTCATTGTTAACATTAAATATTAAATATTTAATGGAACATGTGTGTTTTATTATTATTAAAGATATTAAATACCCTTATATTTGATACTACTATTTGCCAAGATTTTTATTCGAACATTATTAATAATACTCATCATAGAATATGTGTGAAAAACACTACCTTATAGAGGTAGTGCGATTCAATACAATATTTGAACGAAATGGAGAATTTAAAATAAGTCGAATATTCCATTAAATGACGGTGATATTTTTATTCTATTCTATGATATTTTATTCTATTTAAATTTAAGTATTGACAATTTATGTTTCTAGATAATTCCATATAAAATTCAGATATTGAGTTTTTACTCGATTTTAATATTTTCGAATAAATAGTTGGGAGAATATTCTTTTACAGATAAGAAATAGATGAAATAACTTTCTCGATAGAGGATTGTTAATATTGAAATTTCTTTTCAAATTAAAGAATTTTCTCTAATGAATTAATTAATTTGAAGCAAATTAATATTCAATAAACGGATCATATTTTAAATTGATATTTGATTCAGGATTTAACACCATTTACGACAATGTATAAGCGACACAATACCAATTTTGGGCGCTGTGGGGGTCCTAATCCTTCCCCACGCGTAACCGACTCTCGAACCTGTTTTAATCGAATCTTTGGTAGACGTAGACCAACTTTTGTCTTAAAAAATAATTTTTCTTAAAATTGTTTTTAAAAGACAGTTTTAGGTATTCGACCTACCTAACCCAAAGGTTGATGACGACTCCTTTTTATTTTACCCAAATTCAATCCAAAATACCCAATTTTCCAAAAATTAAAAATCGTAACTGTTTTTAAACAATAAACGATTGTTCCGCCGAAAAACGGTTACGATAGCTTGGCGACTCCTCTGGGGACTTTTTAGACAGTCAGTCTGTAGGTCGCTTACACATTTTCGTTTGGTGAAAATTATGAGTTCAAGTCTTTAGTTAATTTATGATCCTTTTATTGAAGTTTTTAATTGCTTCATTTTATTATTGTCTTACTAACATTTTTATCTTTGCTTTCAGATATGTCCAAGTTTTTGTCAAGTGGTTTTGCTTTCCTTTTGAATCAAAGGGCTGAATGTTCCTTCTCACACACATCACGTTCATTTGCATACCATAAGCTCACTTACGAACTTTGTCCCTTTTAAGTTGAGATGAAAGCTTAACCTACGTGAGATAATTTGTTTCTCTGCAAGTAATCTTTGGGGTTCATATACCTTATGTCTACGTGAGATAAATTGTTTCTCCGCAAGGACATAAGGGAATGTATCCTCTCGAATTGAACTCAATCCGTAGGAGCCGGTAATGGGCCAAGATTGAGGGTTTGGTAGCCCAATGGGGCACCAACATTAAGGACAATTCAAGTACCTTTTCCCATTAAAGCCAAAACCATGCATATAGTGAACCGTAGAACGATCACCCTAGGTATAGACATACCGAACCTTTGACCGTCAGTAGGTACCCGAATTAAGTGTACAAAAAGGAGGAGTGTTTCTGAACCTTTTTATTTTCTGTTGAATAACAATATATGAACTAGATACCATGCATTTAGGATAATTTCATTGAAAATAATTATTTTGGGTAGAAAGCATGATTGGGTAGGATCGCTATCTAATAAAAGCATGATCGGGTAGATATCATGATTGGGTAGGTGTTATATTTATCTTTAAATAGCATCTTTTAATTTTATTGATTATTTCGCCCATACTAATTTATTTCTTTTTCTTTTGTGTATGTCATTTTTTTCGTTATTCTTTGCATTGCATCACTTAGGCATCTACATTTGCATCTCCACATTTGCATAATCATCATGAATAAAAGAAAGGTGTTGATTAAACCAAGTAATCATCAGATTAGAAGAGCGATCATTGAAATGGAAAAGAGTTTTCATAACAAGGAAGAACCCAATCCAGCAGTTCTAGATTGATCTAAAGAAGCACAAAGGGCAAAAAAAGATGTAGTTTTTCTGGGGATTTCATATCACAAATGATCATAAATGTCAATCTCAAGCAAGAATGATCTACAAGAGCTGATAGAGATTTGGGAAAGTTGGAGAGTACTTACCGAAGAGAGGTTTTGCAAGAAATATGATTACATAGCTCTTTTCCTTTATGTAAAAATAGATGAACCATTGCTCAAGGCTTTGGTCCGATTCTGGAACCCTACGTATATCTGTTTCACTTTTAACATACAAGATTTGAGACCAACAATCGAGGAGTATACAGTTCTATTTAATTTCGAAAACCTCCAGGTGGATAGAATTTATTCCAAACCTCCAAAAATCCAACCTTCAATAGTAAACTGGTAAAGATTATTGGTACAGGTGAAAATTGGATAGTAGAGAACACCCAATAAATGGGAGAAAGTGTGTGTTTTC